GAAAATTCTCATTTCTGAGATAAAATACAAAAACTACATTGTAAGAGTATACTAATATGCAAAACTTAAGAATTTGGTTTTTGGTCATCTGATCGCGGGTGGAGCAACGGGCAGTGCTAGTATTATATATATTTTAAACACTATAGTAAATGTTTAACGATGTTTAAATTCATACATAGTAATATTGTTAAATTGTAACCAAGCTTATTAAGGTTTGTTCAATAAAATAAACTATTCTCACTCAAACACTACTAATATAAAGTAACACTATATATGTAAATAAATAACTTAAACCGTAAAAATGTTACCAGTTTTAAATAGCTCTACAAATCAACATAAATAATTGTATCATTATATACCATGATTTAAGGCAAAGTTCATTTGGTTGCGGCAGTAACTGTAGAGCGACGTTGGCTACCGAAAGAACTGGTTTTGTTTTATCTGCACTAAATTCTACTAAGAGGAGATAAATGTCATAGTTTGCGAGCTACGGGCCAATGGCCATACGCTTTGTAAAGAGGTGGAATATTTGTTTGGATTTTTAATTAACATAACTTTTTTAGTTAGTCAAATTCTAACTCGTTACACTACTGATTCATTGAAATAACAGTCGAAATGTTATTTTTTTGAGTTAAAGCTTGTATAGTAATATTTATGTAAAATTTTGCATTTCATACCAATATTCTATTTTATTGATAGATCTAACCACTAACGTAGTGCTTTTAGTTAAAATTTACTAGCAACATTTGTATTTTCCATTCATTATTGTGTAAATACTTTTAACGAGGGTAATACAATAAATTGGATGACTAAACTCGCAATAAAAACAAAAAAAAAACATAATATTTTCATTGAAAAATGGAATTAAACTTACGACTTTAGATTAAGATCGCACGATTGCTACGTAGCAATCGACCCTCGCGTATTTCTTTATAGGATGTTGAAGTACACTTTTTATTTCACCAATGCAACAAGTATAAACTTTGCAATGCAGAAGTGATTACGTTCTAGTTTTTTAAGCTCATACAGTCCTGATAAGGAGCTAACAGCAAACGTGTTGGTTTAGATTAATCGAGTACTTGAGGTGTTAACAACGACAGCGACTGGCAGCTTGGAATGCTCTTGACTAAAAGCAGATGGTAATGTCATATTTCTTATTGTGATATTTACAACTAATTCTAGGAACCTTGATATATATGTATGTATGTATATTAATTGTAGGTTTCGTGTTATATAAGCTTTATAAAATGTTTTTGAATTCGTCAAAATATGAACTATACTTATTTAATTTTCGTATTGGTTTTAGGACTACTTACTCTTCGTAGTTTCGACAGAGTATGGAATTTTGCTTATACTTCAATCAATTAACTTTTGGACTAAAAACCTTTGGATATCAAAAAAATAGGATTAAATTATTAGTTCCAGTTAAGCATCCAGTTATGCTTCTAATTCATTTAAAAATCACATTAAAATCTGTCTATGCATAAAATGGTTGATTGGATTTACCGGTATATCTTAACAATTTCCAAAAAAAGGCATCATACATCTAAAGAAATATTTAATGTAGAGCTTTGTTACTTTTAAGTAATATACAATACGTTTAGTTTGATAATGAATATCGTATCGTATATTTATCAATATTATCATCGGACAAAGCTTGCAGACGACTAAACAAGGTGTTTACGAAGCCGATTCCGATCAAACAAAAAAACACACGAAATCCTTAGCGAATAAATTATAAGGAGAGAGTAGGGCCGTGTTGGTCCTTAATTGGGCCATGTCGCATGGACAACGGAAAAAGTTGAACATTTGTTAGGTATTCCAGGAATTGTACACTTGTTGCTGTCGGCCAGTTTTGTTTTGCATGCTCAAGTGCGTAGCCCGTGTATATGGACTGGGTTGCCAGTTTTGAAGGTTAATAGGTTGTCTCGACCATTATAATCGGACTATTAATATAATTGCGAAAGTTTGTATGTGTGTGTGTTTGTTAACTTATAACGCTGAAACGGCTGGACCAATTTGAATGTAATTTAGTACATAGATAGACTATATTCTGGATATTAATGGAGAAATATGTATATAAGCTACTCTTTCTGTTAGGCCCTTAGCGGTGACTCTAAGCGAATCGAGGATCAGTAGGTAATTTATTTTTATTATTTCTTATATTCTTTTATTATTTGGTAGTAATTTCTTTTGAAACGACACTAATTTAAACCTCTAAAAGAATAAATAAACAATAAACATATAAAGTTTACTAGTATTTCTATTAAATTATAGTGATAGTACTAAGTTCAATTTCATTTACATGACATTTCCGAAGTGGGTTGGGTCTTTTGTTTATGGTATATACAATTTATTACGTTTAATAAGCATGAAGCGTGTACTATTTAAGTGGCGAGAGTCTTGTAAGTTTTTAGTATATTTTTTATTGTCATGTTTTTCCTACTGACTGTTTGAATATTTTATCGTCGTAATTTTTACTTTATCATTATTTTTTACTAGCTACGCTATATATATATGTGTGTCTAAGAATATTTTTTGTCCCTGAATTATATAAATAAATTTAAAATCGTCATACTGCTAAAGTGAAAACTTATGGTTCAAGCAATGGATATATAAATGTTAAGGAATCGAACACGCCACCTCTTGCCCATTAGACAATGCCATTTATCATCACTGTACTATATAGACAACTCGTATAATTCTGCTTAGACAACTAAAAAAATCTTTAGTTCTTAAACGAATAATAATAACTAGATAATTTCAAATTACTATAGTATTTTATCTTTTACCTCTGTTTCTTAAATCTCTAACAATATTATCTAGTTTTACTTCCCATAACTACTTAGCAGGTAGATAGGTACATTATAAAGCCAACACATTAAAAAATGAGACTAGATTTTCTCCAGAGCTGCGTTCGTGTAAAAATCTCTGATGGCTTATATAAAACGTAACGACGCGCGCGCGTGTCAGCGAACGTAAATTGTTTATTATTTTTTATGGGATTTTCATGGGAGCGCGCGAGATCGTTAGGGATGCCGCGGTACGTTCATTCCGAGCGCTTTCTTTATGAAGATTGTTATATCTGCTATCTAATACGACTAAGTAAATATTTTTTCTTTTAATAATGAACATTGTTGATATATTTTTAACGATGAGAGTCGTCGGGATAAGCCGATAATACATAAACGATTAATCGAGACAGATCATCTATAAAGATTTTTTATTAGTCAAAGCTTATTAGAACTTATTATTTTTATTAATATATTTAAAAAAGAATGTATATACTGAATCTGTTATAATGAATTGTGTTGGGCTATATCTGATTGTTATATTATACGGCTAATATAATATCGATGAAATTTATTACAAGAATATCTTGCTAATGCAAAATCGATATTAATAGCATTTGCAATTTTTTTTTCAATTGTGGTTTACATTCAAACAAATCATGTAAATGGCATAATAACTGATTTATACTTACACATAAGTCTTAAATCAAAAGTCTATGTCACATTAAGCGGCTTTATATAAGTGTATGCTTCAAGGTAAAATCGCTAAGCGTTACCCTGTCAGACATGAGCAACGACCGGATAGGTAGAAGTTACCCCTAAATATGGGAAGGAGTAAGGATGAGGGGTAGGTGTATTGTAAACACAATTACCCTCCCACGGGGCCACAAATGGCGGCTAAACGACCCATTCGCTTGTGATTTGTTAGCAATATGCTTGAGCTATAGCACTTCTTAAAATGTTAAAACATATTTAAACTTAATAATTAATATTTTTTTATTAAATTTAAACTTAATAATATTGGTGAGATTTTTGTTTTTTTTTTAATGGTAAAGGAAATGCGGTTCAGCTATGAAAAACCTTTAACTTATTACATACTAGCATTGTCCGCGGCTCCGCCCTCGTTCAAATGACCAAAAACCCAATTCTTAAATGAGATATTTTCTCGCGGTAAAAAGTATCATATATGTTGACCCGGATAACCAGCTATCATCATACCAAATTTCATCAAAATCCTTCCAGTGGTTTTTCTGTGATGCGGTAACAGACACACAGACAGACAGACTTTTGTATCGATAATGATGTTTCGATAATGACATCGATTATCGATAATGACAGTTTGAATCGATAATGATGTTTATTTCAATAAGATTTTCCAAAAAATATCTGATGTACAGATTCGGCTTGGTTACAATTTTACTACATGTATAGATATGAAGTGATAATTTACTTTGCTTTTTCTTCTTAATGGCTTCAAAGCGTGCCATTTAAACACAGAATTGTTATTTCCTAATGTACACTTTATTCTTAAACATAAAGAATACCCAAAGACAAGACAATATGGACATAATTTTAAACTTAAAAAAAAAGTAATAGTTGTAGTGTACGTTACGCGATATTTTGTCATTGAGAATCGATTTTCCGAATTGTTTTTCTACTGGATTTTAGGGATGGTCCCATATATAACTTTCAATGCCGAATTCAGTCTTAAGAATTAAATAATTACTTTTAACTAATTTTGAAGTAGGTACACCGAGTAGCTACCTCTTTTAATAAAAAATAATTTACATATATACCTTACTTATTACCCGCGGATTCGCTTGTCTGATAAGTGGGGTGGGGATCAATGGTAGCGTATTTCCAAGCCAAGATCCAATCTATGTCCTAGGAAAATTTTATCGAAATCAGTTCAGCGGTTTAAGCGTCAAGAGGTAACAAACAGAGTTACATTCACATTTATTATATTAGTATAGATATACGAACCTACATTACTACTAAATTCTTATATTAACTGAAAATCTAAAAGATGACCAAAACGCAGGTATTCTAATCGAAATTGATCACGGAAGACTAGTACTCGTTAGGTCAGGATGAGGCGCCGCGCGAGGGCGGACCGCGGACCGCGTATAAACAAATCCACTACAACATTTAATTATATCTTTTATTAATGCAGACCATCGGCTTACACCTACAGAAGTGATACCAATCATGGGTGAAACATGTTCATATCTAACACCCATTGACGCCAAGAATCAGATTCCCCATTGTTACTATTGTGCTATCAAGAAGGTATTATAAAGATTATCAAAAGATTATTTGAATCAAAATAATACATTCATGTTCAATTAACTTATAACGGTGAGGGGTCAATATTTTATAACTATAAAAAGATAGGAAGAGAAAAGATTTTTTTATTTCTTGCGCTATATCTAATTAAGTATATATGTATATATCTTTTATTACTATTTTTCATTATGTGTAAGTACCTATATATATATAGGTACTTACTTTAATAATAATAATACCAGCTTACAATATTTTAAGATATGAACATTGAACATCTAATAGGTAAATATATATTTTACGTATCGAAATATACTAGATTTGCCTTGCATCGGCTGGCAGCGACTTCGAAAATATCTGATTAGGTATCTATTCTAAATGAAAACTCCCGTTTAGTTATTTTTTACATTTTAGGGCCTGGAAGTCGGTTTTTATTTTTTGTTAAAAAGTTTTTATATTATAAGTATAAATTATGCAATCAAACAAAACGAATAAAATGTCATCTGATATATTGACTGCTTCGGTTGTGTAGTAGCTACATAGCCTGCACGGCTGAAGATCTGGAGGTCGTGGGCTCGAGCTATGGGTCGAGCCAAGTTTAGTCATGGGGTCTTTCTGTCAAGTCAAGTCTCGGTGACAGCCCGGAGTTGGGAAGTTGGCGGTGTTTCACCCCATACCTTGGAGAGCACTTAAATTCGTCGGTCCTGCGTCAGTTTTCACACTGGTCGTGTCGAATTGTCGTTCCACCGGAGTATGAGAGTGACCTGCACCTACATAGTAGTCTCGGAGAGATTGGCCACCGTGGCCGAAATCGTTCAGAAGTATAAAGTCATAAGTATAAGCTATATATATTCGAATGTAATTATGCAGAAAGCACTTAATATTCCTTTTATTTTGTATACTACGAATAGTGTATTTTTTAACTGTCTTCCTACATAAAGTGTCGATAGAGTTGAGAGATTTATACTTAGGCAACTGTGCAGGTCGCAAATATCTTATTAAAATGTATTTTATCATAAAATATATATTGAATTTATATTAAAAGCTCTTTGTTATCAGACATATGAAGTTTTAGACCATGATTTAATTATATGCTTAGCAACAAGGTATCTCTCTATACATAATCATTCAAAAAGCTTATTTAGAAGTAAATTTTGAACACATAAATAATTCTTATCCAAACATAATTTATTTTTGATAGAATTTTAAGCGTTTGTAAAGTACGTAATAAATCATATTAGATCAGTTTTAAAAATAATTTACATTCTCGATAACTATAATTGAAGTATAACATAATTTATCGAAAACTATGGCTATAATTATAATATTGGCTGTACTGAAATCTGCAGATATCATGGATCCATGAAACTGTTAGGTCGAGGTGTGCAAAGCGGAGCAAGTGCCGGCGGCGCGGGCGCATATCACCGCCCCGCGCTCGAGGCTCGCACGACCAACACGCCTATAAGGCGCGGACTTGGGTATTGGCTATCACTCTAATATTAAAAATGAGAAAGTTTGTAAGGCTATTTGTTACTTCTTCACGTTGGTATGACTCAGTGGTAGTGATACTGGATACCAGTAACCTATCTATCGTTTTTGGTTCAATTTAATTTTCTTGTTAGTGTCTTTAAAACGTGCCAGTTAAGCACATTTGTGGTTTAACATAATTTATATGGAGCTTATGTCAAATTTCTGTCTCGACAAAAAAAAATAGATAGGTTATTGAGAACCGCGGTAAGTGAAGTTAGGAGCAGATGTCCATGTCGATATCTATACATTATAATAAAATTGTAACTAATTGCCTAATCTACTATTTCTAATATTATTTGCCGAATCTGTACATTAAATATTTTTTGGAAAATCTTATTGAAATATATATTATTATCGATACAGAGGCCGAATCTATAGTTTTTAGAATTTTTGTCTGTATGTCTGTCTATCTGTTACCGCATCACAGAAAAACCACTGGAGGGATTTTGATGAAATTTGGTATGGTGATAGCCGGTTATTCGAGTCAATATATAGGATACTTTTTACTGCGGGAAAATGTCTCATTTCTGAGAAAAAATACAAAAACTGCAATGTAAGAGTATACTAATATGTAAAACCTAAGAATTTGGTTTTTGGTCATTTGAACGCGGGCGGAGCCGCGGGTAATGCTAGTTTTGGATATAAAGATAAAGAGACTTACCTTTAAAGGGTTATGACATTATACACTACGCTTTAGCAATTGTTAAATAGTTTTGAGTAAGAATATTATACCTAAAATTTAATTGAAATGACACTATTTCTTGTATTCTTATATTATAGCTATATTTACACATTGTAATCATGAATTTTCATACTTATTCTACTAATATTATAAACGCGAAAGTTTTTAAGAATGTATCTATGGATGTATATTTGTTACTCTTTCACGCAAAAACTACTGAATGGATTTTGATGAAACTTTACAATAATATAGCTCATACATCAGAATAACACAGACTAGTTTTTATCCCGGAAAAATGTACTGTTCCTCTGGGATAGATTTGTGTTTGATTTTCTAGAGGTGAACCTGAGCGAAGCGAGGGTGAGCGGCTAGTGTACATATAAAACACACTATAGTCATATATTATAACTTTAATCTATACACCAAATACCGTGTATTTGTTTCGTATGCTATACTGTAATATTCTAATATTTTGTTATTAAATATTTGAGGTTTTACAAAAAATATTGGACTTATCTCGTTTACTAACCAAGCCATAAATCATTAACAAAAATTTGTGATGAATTACTACCCAAGCAATATTAAGGTCCTTTATATAACAAAATATGATACGATGATATCAAAATATCCTCATAAGAAACTATCGAAGCATTTGATAAAATCTAAACTGATACGCACACGCCTGAGGTGATTGGTGAAGTGCTTTTCCTGACATATTATTTTCTTAAAAAAACATATCCCAATCATTTAAACAGGGTAATTATATTAGATGTTCTGTAATTTGAATCCTAATATAATTGGAGTAATAGTAATTAACCGCATTGATGAAGATCGTTATACTTTTTACGAACCAAAGGGTCGAATTCAGCAAATTGTGACAAAGCCCGAGCATCTTCTCTCCCGATTTTATAATTTAGATGGCAAAGATAGCTTTAGGAACGAAAGTTTTTACATTTAAATATTTAACACAATACTTACTATGTATTGATAAATATTTTTATTGTATAATATATTGTTGTTATATTCATTAAGTATTAAGTCCAACTAAGAGTCGATGTAATAATACATATACTAATAAATAGTAACTAGTAAATAGAAATACTATATTATGTATGTAGAAGAGTATAACAATATATTCTCTTATTAAAACTCTCATAAAAAGGTATTTCATGATCTATTTTTTTTAGGCATATATACAATATACATATAATGATAAATGAAAATATTTTTTCTCCAGTTTTCATCTTTAAAAACTATCAAAAATAATGAATCGATTTGTAAATGTACTAAAGCTTATATTTCTCTCGATGCTGATGAGATACTTATAACGTAAATCGTCTTCCAGACTACGTCCCTGTATCCGCGCCCAATTCCTATATCTGAGGGCGCATGAAATATTGTAGACAATCTCCACTTGAGCCGCCATTGTAATGAGATGTTATTTATCGAACCACCCCAAGACTGTTTCATTTTATACAATTTACGTTATAAATATGCAGAAAGACGTGATATTATTTCACAAAGTATCTTGTTAAATAAACGCTATAACGTAGACGGATGTTGGGCCAAAAATCTAAAATACAGTTAAAACCATGGCAAATGACTTAAGTAAAAATAATAATGTTCTTGTTTTGTACAGTTATTTCAAATCAAGCGCTTCAATTGTAATAGATTTCTTAAAATCTATAGATACTTCTTACCACAAAATATTTCAAATTAAAAACAAAACTAATTCTTCTAAGACAAACAACCTAATGAATATTTATGAATATTTATTTATTACGTATATAAATCGGCAGACGTAATATAGCGAATATTAACTTAAAACAAGCGGCAATATCAAATACATTTATTCAAATTAAAATATATTGTAAAAAGTGTTAATTGTGAAGCAACATACTCTTACTACAATTCAAAATTGTAAGCTATAAATATTCATATTAAAACGCGTTTGAGTTTCGCCCGATCATAACACATGCGCAAGCGCACGCCCACCGCAGATAGTGCTAACGAGAGTAGTTATCCGATCGACGCGGGCTGTTCCTCATCCCGCCGAGGATTATTCATATTTTCATACTTAGTCAAGTGCAATCGTTCTCGCGATCTAGATAGTCTTATCTATATAATATATAATGTATCTACTTATGTAGGAAGCCATAAATATTCATTTAACTTTTTACTTTATAAAGCGCTACAATGACTGACAAGAGTCTAATTTCTATAAGTCAAAAATTTTGCACAATAATTTAACATATAACAAAGGTTACCAATTAAAGATGTCCTTTGAATATTCGTTCTACAGAAGTAAAATATGAGATGGAAGTTTGTCATTTTTAGAGATTATAGTGATAATTATTAGCAATTAGGGAAGTTATAATATGTGGGAAGTTCGTCGGATAGATAGTAGTTTAAATATTGATTGATAATTAATAAAGATTGTTACATACATTTATATAGATAATATAGCAATTATTATTTAATTTACTTTTGTTTTTATTTACATAACTTAACTATAATATTATTGCAAAGTCTATGCGTATTAAAAATTGTCCTGCTCTCGAATTTCTAGTTTTATGTAAGATACAAAAACTTCACGGTTTAATAACTGTACCGATTTTTTTAACCTTTCCTTAGAAATAGAGAACAAAAAATATTTTTTTAGAAAAAAAAAAATTTTAGAAAGTGAAGCAGAAGATATTATTGTGGAAAATTGTATAAGATGTTCACACACTTGAAATGACAATCATTTCTAGCGGGTGAATATGGCGGTGTTTGATGGTGGTTATGAATTGATCCGACCCCAGAACCTTTGGATTTTCAGTTTTTTTCTTACAGCCGCCATGAGGCAGACAACAAAACTATACAAATATGTAGTAAATATCGTCTAAATTAAATTATTTTTACCATAAAAGTTTAATAAGGAACAAAAATATAATTTCAAACTTTCGTACTTTTTGATTGATTAAGATTGAGTTTAGATATTTATATGTACAACATTATAGGCCAAATAGTCAAATACATTTATCTATTTGGGAGTTCGACCCCACTATGGAACGATTTTACAGAATTTATTGATTAAACACTGGCAAATTGAGGATATGGATGAGAGTAACATAAGAATTATTTATCCCAGAAAAATATAAGGTTTCCTTGGAAAGGATAAAAAAATAGTAGTGAAAAAATGTGTATTACTCAATCACGCGTATACATAGAGCGTAGTTACGAATTACGTAATATATACATTGTACATATGAATTACGTGCAATCTTAATGGTTTGCTCCGTTTAACCCTGATAAAATTTGCTTTAATCGGGCAAAAAATATGGAGAAAAACTCTACATTACATCTTATATATATGTAAATAAAATACATATTTGTAAACACTTTTATGCAAAAAAATATGTAGGGATTTTACAAAGGTACTAGAGGTACAGGTAAATTGACATACATACATATAGATTTAAAACTACAATTATTTTATTAGGAAAAATGGAAGATTGTTGATAAAAGTGTAAACTAATCTTTTATAATATATCATAACAGATTGCTTATGTTATATTTGTAACTCTATTGTAATAAGATTAGTGACAGAATGCATGAGTCAGCTATATAATATTCTCACGAACTTGGCTTCCTTTTCAGACAATTTAATATATTCTATATATAAAATAATATAATGGCATTATGACAATGTAGAGATTAATTTTATTATATACTAGCGACTCACTCTCGCTTCGCTCGGTTTCGTCCGGTACGTTTTGACGATTAATTGGAATAGATAATTGCTATATATGTATGTGTATGCAAGTACTTAGTTGTAAAGCCTATGTCACTGTCCAGCCCTCCAACTATATCCACACAAAAAAATCACGCCAATCCGTAACTCTGTTTCGACGTGAAAGAAGGATAAGCAAACAAGAAAAACAAACAAAGACAGAACCAAACACACCTCTACATTTTTAATATTAGTATGGATTATATTGACTGGTATTCCCCATAAAATAATGGCTTCGATTCTCGAATAGAACAAAAGAAAGAAAAAGAAAGGTGTTGATTACAGTCGCTCTATGAGTAGAGATAAAAATTGTGCATATTTAATATTTATTAATAATAACATTCAAAAGATATTTTTGAAATTATTAGTAGCAAACCCATTATATCTTTCTGTATGTTGCAACAAAAATTAACTAAATTATTTGTCACTTCTAGTTAACTAAACTTATCAATAAATAATCAATACGTGATTTGTTGTTTCAATCATAATCCATCACTTATCAAAATA